ATCTACACCTTATTTTAGTCTCATAATCCCCTTGTATTTTCCTTACATATGGCCGAATAAAACCAACCCCATCAAAGCCAAACAAATCCCTTTTTTCCTCTGAATGCAATCCACTAATGAGATAAGAACAAATGCTGATTTGTGAAGGGATGATGCTTGGTAGTTTCCTAGTTTGTTTTTACTTTCATTTGTAATGTTTACTCCCTTTCCATCATAGTATATAATTCGGCCCTTAGGCCTTTGTAACACGGCTGATTATTAAATGAAAAACTTTGTTTACTCTTTTGAGTATTCTCTTAAAATAGTGTGATGCTATTTTAACCAAATTTCCTAATGAAATATCTCTAAAGTTGGCTACTTTTGAGTGCGTGTTAGGAGTCTAATTTTATACATTAGTAGTGATTATTAATGTGTAAAAGAAGATAAAAGCCCCAAGTTAAGATAAGAGTGTGTCATATCTCTTAACACCAACTTGGTTTATCCCTTCACTTTATTTCTACCCATTTCATTTCTCACCATTTCTTCTTCTTAAACTTATTCTTTTCTCTCATTAAAACACCAAAAAGAACTATTTCCCACACTCCATATTTCACCTCTTCAATTCCATCATCCATTTCCTTCCGCAAATCCGCCACAAAATAGCTACTCGATATGACCCCGGGTCTCGGGTACAACACATGGGCATTATTTTGAGTGAATTGTATTTTCCATTATTCCCTCCAATGTAATCCTATATATTCAGCAATAGGCCTGGGTGTAGAAACACATTGTATTCCATTTTTAATCAAAGTGATTCACTTGTGTGTTTCATTCCAAATTCCTAATCCTATATCTTAAGAGTGGTTCTCTTGAGTGTGAGTTTTAGGTTCTAGTTATTTGAATAAGTGTGTGATATCTTATTTGAATGCTAGACTCAACCCCAAGTTAAGATAAGGGTGTGTGATATCCCTTGACACCAACTTGGCTTGTTCCCCTTCCCACAAATACTTCTTTTCCTGTCCCGCGCTGCCAAGTAATCGACTATCACTATAAATAGTCGATTATCCATCCTTCGTGAAACACCTGCAACCTTCAATAGTCGATTATCACTCTTAGATAATCGATTATCAGGCTTCCCCAGAATCTTGCAACTTCCAATAATCGATTAACACTCCTCCGATAATCGATTATCTCCCTTCTCAGAACATTCCCTGAAATTGCCCAAGAACCTGAAGCCCTCAACAATCGATTATCCACTTAGGACAATCGATTATCTCCCCTTCCCTGCAAATAAAGAGATTGTAACTATAAAACCCATAGCTTAGATATAACAACATGTACAACCCCAACGTAGTTTGCCATTATTGTAATAGGATAGGTCATATTACTCCCATTTGTTACACTAGGCATAGGCACCTATCTGTTTTAGTTCGTGTGATGGTAGTGTGTGGATTGTGGGCTCCTGGGTTGCATTTAACCCATGGATTTTGAGTAACTACACAAAGTATTCACACGAACTTCCGTAGTTCACATGAAACCATGGAACTATCGCCTACGAGGTTCGTGTACTGGCCCCTACGTAGGTTCAAAGACCAAATCAAACCCGCTAAAGGAGGAAACATAGTTTTTGGAGATAATAGCAAGGGAAAGATTATCGGTATTGGTTCAGTAGGTAAATCTGAAAACTCCTCTATAGATAATGTCTTACTTGTTAAAGGTCTTAAACACAATCTCTTGAGCATAAGTCAATTATGTGACAAGGGAAACCGTGTGACCTTCGATTCAACATCATGCACGGTAGAACGCCTTAGTGACAATAAGGTCATTCTACGTGGTGATAGAATCGATAACATATATATGGTTAACTTAGACAAATCCCCTTCCGGCTTTGCTAATTGCCTCATGAGTAAAGAGGAAGACACTTGGTTATGGCACCGAAGGGTAGCTCATATGAACAAGAACTTTTTGAACAAATTGGTTTCACAAGACTTAGTAATTGGCATTCCAAAACTTAAGTTTGAAAAGACGCCATATGTGATGCATGTCAAAAGGGGAAGCAAGTTCGGGCTTCGTTTAAGTCTAAGAACGTTGTTTCAACGTCTAGACCGCTTCAACTTTTGCACATGGATCTCTTTGGTCCTTCTAGAACGAAAAGTTTTGGTGGCAATTACTTTGCGTTTGTGATTGTCGATGACTACTCTAGGTTTACATGGACCTTGTTTCTTACTCATAAAAGTGAAGCATTTCATGTTTTCAAAAATTTTCTAAAGAAAGTTCAAAATGAAAAAGACACAACCATAGTAGCCATAAGAAGCGACCATGGGGGAGAGTTCGAACGAAATTTGTTTTCAGATTTGTGTGACGAACTTGCCATTGATCATAACTTCTCAGCACCACGTACACCACAACAAAATGGAGTGGTGGAACGCAAAAATAGATGTCTCGAAGAGATGGCTAGAACTATGATCAATGAGTCAAAAATCCCTAAGTATTTTTGGGCGGATGCCGTGAGTACCGCGAGCTACGTGTTAAATCGAGCCGTCATTCGGCTGATACTCATGAAAACGCCCTATGAATTATACAAAGGGAGAAAGCCAAACCTTTCCCATCTTCGAGTCTTTGGTTGCAAATGTTTTATTCATAATAACGGCAAAGATAACTTGGGAAAATTTGATGCCAAGTAGGACGAAGGGATTTTTCTTGGTTATTCTCTTCGCAGCAAGGCCTATAGAGTTTTTAATAAGTGCACTTTGACTATTGAGGAATCCCCTCATGTTGTATTTTCCGAAGATAATACTCGCTTGGCGAGAAAGGCTATTTGTGATGATCTTGCATATTCACTCGAAAGATTACACGTTGAAGACAATGAAGAAGACACGCCATTATACACCAACCCGCAACCACAACCTGAGGAAACACCTCAAGTGATGGTCGAAAATGAGGACCAAGCGGACGAAGAAGAACAAGAGGAAGCCCAGGAACAAGAGGAAACCAAGCTTCCCATCGCTTGGAGAACGCACAAGAACCATCCACTTGACCAGGTAATCGGCAGCATCAACCGCGGGGTAAGTACTCGTAACTCTCTTAGGGACACCATAGGTCACATGGCTTTTGTTTCTCAAATTGAACCTACAACCATTTCCGAAGCAATAAACGATGAACATTGGACCTTGGTTATGCAAGAGGAGCTAAACCAATTCAAACGGAATGACGTTTGGGAATTGGTACCAAGGCCCGATGATCGTACGATTATTGGTACGAAATGGGTGTTCCGTAACAAACTTGATGAAAATGGAATAATCACTAGAAACAAAGCTAGGCTCGTAGCTAAAGGCTACAATCAAGAAGAATGCATTGATTTTAAAGAAACTTATGCACCCGTTGCACGTTTAGAAGCTATTCGTTTACTTCTTGCCTTTGCCTCGTCTATGGATTTTAAACTTTATCAAATGGATGTTAAGAGTGCCTTCCTCAATGGTTTTATTCAAGAGGAAGTGTATGTTGACCAGCCCCCGGGGTTTGAAGACTTTGAGTTTCCCGATCATGTCTTCAAACTCAAGAAAGCGCTCTACGGTCTTAAACAAGCACCCCATGCTTGGTACGAACGTTTGAGCAAATTTCTTTTGGATAGTGGTTTCCAAAGGGGAAAGGTAGACACCACACTTTTTATCAAGAGTAAAAACAATAACATCCTTTTGGTTCAAGTTTATGTAGACGATATTATATTCGGTGCTACTAACGAATCTTTGTGCAAGGAATTCTAAACTTTAATGACAAGTGAATTCGAAATGTCAATGATGGGCGAGCTCACATTCTTTTTGGGACTCCAAGTGAAGCAAATGAAAGGGGCACGTTCATTTGCCAAGCCAAATATTGCAAGGAGCTCCTAAAACGATTTGAAATGGACAACGCCAAAGCCATGGCGACCCCAATGAGCATGTCTGACCATCTTGACAAAGACGAGAAAGGTAAGGAAGTAGAAGTCAAAAAGTATCGAGGTATGATCGGGTCCCTTCTCTATCTTACCGCTAGTAGGCCGGATATCATGTTTAGCGTTTGCCTTTAGTGAAATACCTTGCCGGCACGGTTAACGTTGGACTGTGGTATCCAAAAGGTTCTTCTTGTCATCTTGTTGGCTATTCCGACTCGGACTTTGCCGGTTGCAAATTGGACCGTAAAAGTACGAGTGGGACTTGCCACTTACTTGGTAGCTCTCTAGTCTCATGGTTTAGTAAAAAACAAGTCAGTGTTGCGTTATCCACAACCGAAGTGGAATATGTAGCCGCCGGTAGTTGTTGTGCTCAAATCCTTTGGATGAAGCAACAACTCGTGGACTATGGCCTTAGTATCAATCACGTCCCTCTTCGTTGTGATAATACTAGCGCCATAAGCTTGACGAAGAACCCCGTTCTTCACTCAAGGACGAAACACATTGACATTAGGCATCATTTCATTAGAGATCATGTTCTCAAAGGTGATGTCGAAATTGAGTTTGTTGAAACACACAACCAATTAGCCGACATTTTCACAAAACCTTTAGAGAAAGAGTCGTTCTTCCGCATTCGAAGTGAACTCGGAATCCTTGACTCCACGATGATCTAAGTTGTGCATCTAAACTT